GGCCTCTCAGAGTTAGTAAGACAACTCCCACCTGTTCATGCTCTCTGTATGTGTGTATATATATCTCCTCAATATATGTTCCATTCTATATGCATCCGAAGAAGTGGGCTGTAGCCCACGAAAGCTTATGCTCTAATAAATTTGTTAGTCTCTAAGGTGCCACAAGTACTCCTGTTCTTTTTGCGGCTACAGACTAACACGGCTGCTACTCTGAAACTTAGCTTGAGATGAGGCTCTAGTAATTTTACTCCTTCCAGTCACAACAATTCGGGCAACTAACTTCGTGGTTATATTGACAAATTGATCTTGCTCTTTGTAAAAAGTGAATTCCATTTTCCCTAGCAGTATATTGTCCTGGACACAGAATCTGAAGTGTTATTTTAACATTAGTCAGTAAAGTCTACATGACAAAATGGACAAAATGAATAATATAGTTTTAGTAATCTTTCAAAAAAAGAGAGGGAAAGGACCAGATCAATATTGAAAGCATGATTCAATCTAACTGTTCCAGTTTAGTTGACTGCTAAGACTAGATTCCAGCAACGACCTTTCAAGTTGGTTCAAACTTTTGTACTATGGACTATATTAGAATAAGGAAGTGTTTTATTTCCCAGTTAAATGACGTTGTCAGAGGGAATATATTTTAAGTGGGATTTAACGTTATTATGGAAGATTAATCAAGCAAAATAAAGATAGACCAGCTCTCTACAAAGTTACTTATACGCAATCCAAAAAGGACAATCATCAGGACATTTATGAGATACCTATCATTTATCATAGCATGTGAGCCAATTTTGCTGCCTGTATGCTCTTGCAGAAGCTGTTATATTTAAGAATTTGGCATAGATGCAATTATCCAGGACGAAGAAATATTGAGGCTGAGGGTCTTGATTCTCTCTCAGACTCCGCCAGAATTCGGATGGATATAGTATATTAAATTGCTCTTTCAGTTTCATTAGCTTCTTCCACCTCTAAACAACTATCTTCTCACAGGGGAGAAAGCTATTTTATATAGTAAAGCTTAGTAATGTGCTCTGGGAAAGAGTTTTAAAAGAGGAAATCCAGTTTTCCTCTAAAACAGCAGATAACATTGATGGACATTTCTTCACTTTCTGTAGTAATACCTGTTTTCAGTCTGAGTATTTGATGCCAATCAATGCTATCTTATTTTAAGAGAGATAATATTTAATTTAAATGGCCTTTGTTGTTTTTTTAATGGCATGTGAGACAAGTATTTATAACCCCTAATCTTATCTTTCAAGTAACCAAGTTGGATATTTTCCCCAAAGGAATCAAGAAAGCTCATACTTCCTTTTTAGTAAGCAAAAAATGTATGTACAGGCATTATTGTTGTATTGCTTCCTCATAACAAGAACATTTACAGCTAAATTATGTTCTAATGGTTTCTCTCTCAGGATATCTTGTGAAGTAATCTAAAGCCAGTAAAACTATCAGATGCCAAAGCTGGAGATTGAAAATGGCGGTGGGATTTTCAATAGGAGTTTTACCACTGACTTCAATGGGGAAGAGTTAGGCCAAAGCTGAGCACTTTTTAAAAAACTCAATTTACACTGCTAATTAACTAATTCTAGATAACTACTAGTTAGATTAGCCTCACCACAGAATTATCTTGTAAATATTCTTCAAAATAGGGGTTCTTGGTGTTTATTAGGAATTCGGGCAAAATCACACCCCAGAGGAAAGGGGGCAGAGGAGAGACGGGGCTCACTTTTGTCGGCAGCTACTGCTACAGGGGCTATGATGAAGAGTAATCCTTGCACTCAGAAGGGCAGAAGGACTGTAGCTGCGTCCAGGTCTGGCACAGCAGTGGAGGCTTCCTGAACCCTCCTCCCCATTTTGGTACACAATGCAGGACCAGGAAATACCATTTAATATTTAATCTTACCACTGCATTGCGCTCAACTCTTGATCGTATTTGGTCTATTTTGCCTTCTGTAACTCTAGGAAATATAGATGAATCTGCTCCCTTACAAAACAGAAAAATATCACCTAAAAGAGACAAAATACGAAGTTTAAAATGGTTAAAATTTATTTTCTTAATTTAAAAAAAAAACAGGTTAAATATCTTTAAAGACAGTTTCTTCAGACATACATTGTTCTGAGAACGCTAATTACCATCTTAAAATTCCAAAGCATCACTGAAAGAGCAGAAAAGAGCAAAGCATGAAGAAAAGAACACTCTGGTGTGACCCAGTTGAATTCAAAATCAAGACAAAAGATCACAAACCACTAACCCCCTCCCCCCGAAAGCAAAGCAAATTCAGGATATGATATTTCTACCTGCCACTGATCGGACAATCACACTCATTCGCCTCCTTACGGAATCAAAACTCAACATCTCTAACAATTCAAACCTGAAAGAGAAAAAAAATATTTTGAAGTAAGCCTGTTTTTTCACATAGCTAAGCTTGTTACTGAACCTAGATAATAATTTGTAAGTTCTGCCACATGGAACAAAGTAAGATGCAGTCAGTTAAGGAAAAATGGGTGAGTCCCCTGGCAACTAGACCAGGAGTTTTGGCTGGATAATGACTGCATGATGGAGTCCAGTATCCAGTCACTGACAGCAGCCAGTACCGGAGGAAGATGAAAGAAACCCTGTAATACAGGTATATGGAATATACTACTCACAGGGAAAGTTTCCTTCTAGTCCTCAATAGCTAGAGATTGTCCTATGCCTTGAAGTATGAGGGTTTATATCCCTCGGATGTTTTAGGATTTTTAAAATTTATTATAACACTGAATATTCTTGTTTTCCCCAAAGGGAAATGACACTCCTATCCCTAATAAATCCCCACCCAACACCAATATTTCCCTCAACCCAATGATTCCCCTCTACCTTCCCCATACCATTCATTTAATGTATTTTATCAGGTCCCTTCTTATTATTTTTTTTTATAAAGAGTCCCAATTTTTTTTCAATATAAACATATCTTTAACCCAAGTTCTGACCTCTGAAAAGCCCTTCTCCCCGTAGGGTGACCAAACAGCAAATGTGAAAAATCGGGACAGGGGGTGGGGGGTAATAGGAGCCTTTATAAGGAAAAGACCCAAAAATCGGGACTGTCCCTATAAAATCGGGACATCTGGTCACCCTACTTCTCCGTAAATATTTTACTCAAGAAAAATGCTCTAATCATTAGACAGACCACATCATATTGTTTTCACTTGTTTAATCAGAGAATTTACTCAGTTCTATGTTATTACAGTCTGGAATTAAAAAAAAAATCATCTACGTAAGGCCACAATACTACTTTTGTTTGAAGTCAATGGTACCAATCTAGCAAGAAGTTGAATCAGGCTTATGATTGCAAAATGCAATGAAAATTGGAATAAGTCCAAGTATTTTTTAGTACTTCCATACTTCAACTGCCAAATTATTACTGTGCCTCCATTTACTTATGAATTTAGTTATAAATACCAGAGTCCTATATTACTTAACAGGAATGAAACCAATGGGGTACTATTCAAATAGGATTGTTTAAAAAAACATATGCAAACAGATGAAGCCATATTAATTTTCTATACCACATAAACACCATTTTGCCTTGGACTATCTTGTTACACCTTTGCTGTTTTCCCATTTTTCCCATTACATAGTTTCTCAAACTGTCAGAGTAAGTGAAAACAGAAAACGAGAAGTCCTGTAAATTATAACTATCAGTAAAGCATTACCCATTTTTAACTAAGTGGTTTCTTATTTCTCACAATTTTTGGTTTACAAATGAATATACTTAAGGAAAGAAAAAATTGCTGTATACATTATTGATAAAATCCATTTCCTCAGTCCCAACCGGTTCACATTTCCACAACCACTCACCTCTCAATATCATTTTTTGGATTTAAAATTTCCATAAAGTTGTCCTTCAGCCTTAAATATGTGTAACCAAGCCTGCAAATTTAAATGCAAATTCAGACAAGAAGAGATTACAAGTAATACATTTATAATTACGCAGCTTAGCATGTTGTAAGTACTTAAGAATTAACTTTATCTTCTGAAATAGAAATATCCTGTTTTGATTTCATTCATGGCTAAGGATTACTAATATATGCTGAGAAGATAGTAAACATCACGTTTATATGATTCTGTAAAATTGCCTATTAATAATATTTCTCTGCTGAAATATATTTTCAGCTTCAATTAACTGAATATCCATATTCAAAATTATTTTGGAGACCTAAAAACTATCAAATTACACACATACCTCTGTATTCCTTCAACTAAAGCAACTTCATCAGGTGATGATGATATATACACACAAGATCTTCCAGACAATTGGGCTTTCTTTAATCCATCTATATTGTCATCCTCTTTCACTTGAACAGTGTGACAAAGACAAAGAGCCCGAAAAAATAGCTCCTCTCTCTCCTAATAAATAAAAAGGAAAGTATTGTCATTATATAGTATTATTTTGAAAAGGGATAAGAAAAATGAAAACAAAAATAAAAGAAAACCCTATCTTCCTTCTAAATTATTCTGTTTTGTAGGAGATTGGAACCACTTATTTGATTTGGGCTTGTACCTAAAACCAATTATGAATATTTTTGATAGGTAATACAATCTCACATGGTGGCTAATCCTTTATAGGGAATTGGATGCTAGCCCTACCCGTGACTAATCAAGCTTCCTCCTAAATGATGTCATAAAGCCAGGATCAGGTGACAGCTTGAAGATTACCTGGTCCTCATAAAAGCCAGCAAGCAGCTCAGGAGAACAGCAGGGAGTAAGATGACTCCTGTAAGAATCATTGGATCAAGGGAAATGGCCCATTTCACATGCAACTCTCAGATAGAAGTGTAATCTTAAAAGGAGCAGAATGGATAGGTGCAGGTTGTAGGAAGGTCCCTGCGGGAGTCCCTGGGACAGGGGAAGGAACACAGATTAGATATGATTCTCAGGGGAATGGCCTGCAGGCAGCAGGCTAAAGGTAAGAGGAGTAGAGAGAGGCTCGCCCTGATTCTCAGGCAGATGCCCTGTGGAATATAATCCTGTAGGGAGTAGACAGGCTCTTGCAGAAGGCCCTGGGTCACAGAGAAAGGACATGAGTGATATGATAAACTTTCTCTCAGCACCCAGGTCTTACTGTGGGGTGAGTTTGACTGTTCTGTTGCAACTCTGACAGGTGTTTACTGCACAATAGCAGAGCATGTTTTTAGGGGCCTTAAATCCAAGCTGAGAGCCAGAAAAACATTGGGTCTGCACCTTTGATGTTGTCAGATGGGTGTGTGGACTTCAGTGTCTTGCATAGCTTGAAACAGCCCCTTTCTGGTTGCTCATACAAGGTATGCTTTGGTAGGGGATTTTGGGAGCTGGCGCCAAACCTTTACAGTCAGTTGCAGGGATTGACTAAGGACCGCCTCTCTTTATGTATCTCAGGCCTCTCTGAGTGCAGCTTGGGAACCACACCAAAGAGGTAACTGCTAGTTCCTGGGCAGTTGGTTGGGGTTCTGTTTTATCAATGAAGGTTGCTAAATTAAGCCAAAGAAGAACTGCAGCCTGTGCTCTAATCACACTTTGGTGTCTGTCTCTCTTTCCTGCAAAGCAAAAACTGCTTTAAATTGAGTTGCCCAGAAAAAAGCTTCACAACCAACAGTGAGGTCACAACTTCAAGGATGAAAACCTCTAGGCTACAGAATTACAGTAAATAAAACTTAAAAAGGCCCCATTTTGCACTAGTTTAAATTTATGAAGGCTATAGAATATGCTTTTAGCACCCATTTTTCCCTTTTATCATAGGTTTTGTCTTATATTATCATAACTGATTTCTACTTTAATCAGTCAACTAACTATTATTATAGATGTTTAGCTATTAACTTGGTAAAGTTTCATATTTTAGTTTTCATTTAATGATATTTTACAATTTTATTAAGTGGATTCTCTTGGACATTTCTTGTTAAGCAAATAAATCGCTTAGGGCTTGTCTACATTTACATTTTATAGCGCTCTAACTTGCTGGCTCAGGGGGGTGAAAAATCACCCCCCTGAGCACAGCAAGTCTGAGCGCTTTAAAGCGCTAGTGTGGACAGGCTCCCAGCGCTCGGAGCTAATCCCCTCGTGGAGGTGGCGGAGCGCTGAGAGAGCTCTCTCCCAGCGCTTGCGCGCAATCACACTCGCACTTCAAAGTGCTGCTGCGGGAGCGTTCCCCCGGCAGTGCTTTGAATTTTCCAGTGTAGACATACCCTTAGACTAAACTACAAGAGGAAAATATTTATGCTGTGATACAATTCCACCAGAAACCCACTTAGTTTACTAAAATCTCTGGGACATTATACACCTCTACCCCGATATAATGCGACCTGATATAACACGAATTTGGCTAAAACGCGGTAAAGCAGTGCTCCGGGGGGGGGGGGGCGGCCTGGGGCTGCACACTCTGGCGGATCAAAGCAAGTTTGATATAACACGGTTTTACCTATAATGTGGTAAGATTTTTTGGCTCCTGAGGACAGCATTATATCGGGGTAGAGGTGTATTTATAGTTTTCTTTTCAACATAAAGATCAGTTCATTTTCATATTTTTTTTAAAGGAGCATCGTACTTTCCCGCTTCCTCCTGGAGAAGAGTCGATCATATCAATGCCTGTACAATCATGGAGGATTTGCCCATTACAGATGACATGAGGTATATAAACATGCCCTTCAATGCAGCATTCTATGAATTCCATATTGTTCTCAGTTAATGTTCCCGTTTTATCTGTGAAGACATACTCAACCTGCAAAGAAATACATTAATTAAAGAGAACTGGATATATTGTCAGACACTGAGAATGTCTCTGTTCATAACTCAAGTTGTATAATTTTCAAGCCCTTAGCTGCTGGGCCTCAACAAAGAAGAACACAATAGCTTCCTTTGGGGTGTCAACTTTTGTCAAAATACAGGCAGCACCTGAAAGGTTCTACAGTACATGGGGTAGCTGCAGAACTATGTTTCACCTGACAAAGAATGTATGTGAGACAGTAGTGAAGCACTTAATCCATTTTTCTCACTTCCATCCTCCTCCTTTCCCATGTTAAATCCCTTATCTTCAAGAGCTATTTCTGGAAACAGGTTGCACATGGCTTACACTTGTCAATGACTTTTGATATCTGAGGCATTAGCCCAGATTTTGATTATAGTGACTACAACGATGTCAACAGAATTACTTAAGCATTACATGCTAACGTGTATGTAAGTGAGATACTAGTGAGATCAGAATCTGGACCATAGCCATTATGCAAAAACAGACAAAACGTAGTTATAATGTTACAGTGTAGGCCTAGCAACTGCACTCTTCACCCGAACATTAGTTTTTATTTCACCTTCCATAGAGCTTCATGGAATTCAAAACTCCCAGCGGTAAGAAAATGAAAAGACCTCTAGCAGGGACAACTGATATGTCAGACTACTGTAACAGCTCAAAGGTGAGGTGGTTTTTTTTTTTGGGGGGGGGGGGTAACTGACAGCAAGCAGTGCCAAATACGTCATTTAAACTAACGATGTTAATAATTGGCTAAGCAATACTTCTCTCAATTACTATTGATCTTATTGTTTAAAAACCTTCGAAATTATCACACACATTAAAAGAAATAAGTGGGTCCAATAGAAGGTATTACCTAACCCGCCTCGTCTCTCTAATACCCTGGAACCGACATGGCTACAACAACACTGCATACAACTAAGTCCATTAAGTTTGGATGCACAACTTGACAATCCTCAGGCCTGTTCTTCAGAGGCTCTGAGCACCTACAATTCTCACCAACTTCCCACTGACTTGGGTGGTCAGTACCTTTGAAAATCAAGCCTTATGGGTATCAAGCTGGACATCTAAAACTGAAGAACACTTTTGAAAATCCAGACCAAATCTTGAACAGCACATTTTGAAGTGACAAAAATTAATTATAAAAGCCAAAAATGACCATAATTGGGTTATTTTTCTTGAAGTGTTAGAAACTATTGATACATTTTTATCATCAGTTAGAACTTCTATGAGGAATTTACCTGTCCTAATTCCTCATTGAGGTCAGAAGTATTCACCAGAGGTCCTTCACCTGTGTCCTCATCAAACATTTCTTCATCCCAAGTGAGGAAATAAGAACCAAGAAACTTCTGCATTTCCACTGTGACATACATTGATACAGGAATAATGTAGTTGAAAAGAACCATGAACGCAAGGAAGTCTGTAAATGCTCTAAGTATCTGCCAAAGAAACAAAACCAAAACATTGATTTTTCATTAATCAGTGGAAATTACAAGATTAAAATGGTTATTTACGCGTTTATCTTTCAAATGTCTTTCAAACATTAAGCGGAACCATTTAAAAGAAAAATCTTCTCAGTTACTGTCAACCCTCAGCTTAAATTTCTGCATTTCTCCATCACCATCATTTTCTCTCCATGCTTCACTATACAGTGAAGTCAGAAACTGGCACATTTTTATACATCTGTTATGATTCCAACTTCACTACTAATCAAGCATGAGGAAGAAAGAGCTTTGAAGGAGAAACCAACTTTGTAATTCTCGTAATTCTGAAATTGAGAGTACATATTTTCAGTTACATATCAATGTATTACAAAGTTCTAGAGTGTCGAATGAATGACTACCTATGAATGATGAAAAATTAATATTCACAGAATATCAAAAGAAAAACAAAACAGCAAGAAAAGGAGGCAAGGTTTGCTGATTTGTACAGATTACAGGCATTTCCAATATTTCAAATAAAGGGCCTCCCTTTCTCAATGAAATAGCAAGGTATTCACATGTATATATTAATACTTTGATGTTTTCTCCATAGATAATAAATGACAGATTTTAAACAATTCAGAAATAAAGGACTGAATTGTTCAACCTTTACTCCCATTAGTAAGCCTAGCAATCACAGTTACTAAGATCACACAAGTAAGTATTACTTGTGGGAGTAAAGGTTGCAAAATCCAATCTTATTGGTAAGAAAATTTATCTATGTGAAGAAAGGCTGCAAAATGAGGCCCAAAATTAAGAGCTAAGAGTTTAATACTGATTTCTCAGTAACTAATACCAGCAACAAGAAAACACAAACTTTAGGTGGATTTTTAATACTGTACCTACTGAATACTAAACACAATTACTATATAGTCTCTTTAAGCTGGATGTTCGTTCAAATGTAATTTTAAAGTGCAGAAAGCCAAAATACAAGCTTTTCCAAACTGCACTGCCAGTAGTCTCAGCAAGGACCAGGAAAAATAATTCATGACTGATAGTCACTCTTCACTAGGATCACTGGAAACATATGTGAATTTAGGGTGTTCTGAAACTATTTTGGTATTTCAAGTGTTTTCTTCACAAGATAAATTTTCATTAAAAATATTCTGCAAATTATGGTTGCACAGATCTACTTCTGAAAGAACAATGACAGTGTTGTATTTATCAATCTACAGGAACAGATAAGACAGCCAGTGTCCATTTATATTGGACATGGTGGGGCATGATATAACAGTCCCACCTATGGTACATTTTTACAGCAAGAGGGGCTAACAGATGTAAATTGCCTCATTCGCCTCGGGGTCATTAACTTTGAATATGACCATACCAATTTAAAAATGTCGATATTGTTTACTATTTTACTGCTGTTCATTTTAGTATAAAAACTTAGCTAATGTGCTTTATGCAGTATAGTTGGATTAATTCAAAAGGACATGCTCCACGAATCAGGTTGCATTGGAATGTGGGATCAAATACTTGAATTTTGTTTTGGTCCTTATGGGGGAATAGAAGGGAGAAGGGAGAGACAGGTGATGATATGGGAAGACCTCTGGGAAGAGATTGGGGTGGGAAGTCACAAAGAAAGGACTCCAAAAAAATATCCAACAAGTTCACTTGATTTGTTCTAAATGCCATTGAATTTTATAAATTTTCCTGTAGATATCCAGTGGCTCTAGTAATCCCCTAAGTGATTCTCAAAAGTCCTGAAATGGCTTCCCCTCAGACAATCAAAATTACTTCTAATCAATAGAAGCTCATCCCCAACTTCAGAGATCTATTCATAAGCTACTGTATAAAAATATATCATATCCCACACTTCGCCAATAGCTTCTAACATTCTGTCATCTATTTTTAATATGTTTACTTTAGACAAACATCTACTATTTATTCAATATTTATTTTTTATAGTAATTAGGTACCACGCCTAGGGGATTTGCTTTCCTCTAACTGATATAGCAATTTTAGCCTCTCTAAACTTTTCAGTTTTACTATTATGTATATACTATTTAAAAATCACTACTTAGATGGTTTTCATGAAACAAGTGTTAACGAAACAGAAAATGTATAAAAACAAAAAGATTGCAGGGTACCTCCATTTGAATTTAGGATAGTATGGAAGTATGTTATCCAAAGACTTAGAATTAAAAAACAAACAAACAGAACAAAAACAATAGATCAGCATAGCATGGTCAAGTGTTGTATCTGCACTTAACATTCAGCATTTTAAAAGTGACCTCCAAAACATTCAGAAATATATTTTAACTAGTGTGTGCTAAATGCACAAAGAACAAGGGGGCAAAGAGTCATTCAAAAAGTAACAGATTGGAAAAACTAGCGTTTCCAATCTTCTTAAAGTTATGCCAGCCAGTTTGACTCCATTGTGATGTCACACATACCATGAAGCATCATTAACTAATAGAGCCAGTCAATATGGGTCTGGTAAGTGACACTTTTTTCAGTAATATGGTGTCCTTTTGAAAAAATATTTCATATACTTTTTTAAAAATAGCTTTTAAAAAATATTTTAAAAATAAAACATTTCTCTAACTCTACACCAACCCATCATACACTTCAACAGCAGGGCTTCCTGTTATCCGTAATGTCATACAATCATGTATTCTGGGATTACAGTGGAATGGAACTGTAACAATCTCAGGGGGACTAAAATAAAAACGACAAGTTTACACTTTCCTAGTTGCTATATGTTCCTCCACACTTTTCTATTTAGAACACTATAAAGAAAATTTTTTACATGTGTCACTCTTGAACATCTTGAGAGAAAATTATATGTTACACAAATACACAGTAATTTTCCATACCAGGTTTCTTTTCCTTTCTGACTCTGTTTTCTGATTATACCACGGTTCATCACGAAATGGATCACTCTGCCAAACATACTTCAGGGCAGTATTTATTATTGCTTTACTGATTAGAATACAGAGGTATACAATAAGGAATACATTCATTGATCTAAAACAAACAAAAGAAACAACTCTTCCATTAGTATATAAAAATGTACAGAGTTTATGAAAACTTTATACTGAAGCTCCTTAAGTCTAATTAATATTCATTAACAAATCTAATAATGTTATGATGTTAAATCAGTTCTCTACAGTATTTCTCCAGCAGAGAATAATATCACTAAGACCTGGTCTAAACTTAAAAATTTACCAGCATAACTTGATCACAGATGTTATACTCATATTTTACCAACATTTCTATGCTGGTAAACGCACTAGTGTAGATGCAATTACATTGTCATAACTATCCTTATACCAGGACAGCTTATGCCAGTTCCCTGAACCAGCACAAACTACACTGGTATAAGCACTTTTATACTGATATAACTGCGTCAACGCTCAAGATTTTGCTGGTATAACTATACCAATATAATGGCAAAAACCTCCTATTGCAGATGAGGCCTAACTTTTCATCTCAAAGCTTAAGAAAACAAAAATGTTGTTATTAACATCAGTGATGGGCATGAACTGAAAGCTCTGACCTGTACACCTTTAACAATAAGATGAGCTCTTTCACCACTTCCCAGCAGTTGTGAAAGGAAACAGGAGGTACACAGGCTGATCACCATAGCTTGCTTAAGCAATGGCATCCTCTCTGCCACTCAGACACCAGGGTAAGCTTTAGGGCTATCTTATAGTACAATGAGACTATATAATAATCCCCAATATCTTTGGTAACAGACAACCAATATCAGCCCAAGTAGCTGCTACTCCCCTTATAGATGACAGTGTGTTCAGAAAGCAACACGCTTCCTTTTCAATACCATTCATTTTGCTTGTGTAGAAAACCATTCATTTTAGATAAAACACAGAAACCCTGCTAGAGACAGACTGGTAGTACACAGTTTTTTTGCAGTTTGGTTCCATTTTATTGTATTTTAGTATGCTTTTCCAGACTGAAGTGCCTCAAAGGAGTTTTGTCTATTGAACTCAACATTTAAATGCTAAAAATTGGGAACTGTAAGGGTACTGGAACATGGCACAATCTGGTGATTCTGTCAGTGGATCTACTCTAAGCAGCAAGAGTTACAAAATTCTGGAATGGTAAAGAACAGCTGATTTCTAAAAGGTATCTAGCATTAAGAAGTGTTTGTGTTGTTTTTAAAATATAGTCATCCGTTCAATCAGAGGAACAAAAATCTAACGGGAGCCCATGGTGACATACAGAAAGATGCAATTTTTACTAAGTCTTTCTTCCACTTATATTCGAGTTAATGAAACGTATAGTTTTAGCATAAACAAAAAGGTGTCTATTTTATTAAATCCAAACGTACTCTTTTCGCCCCAAAATATATATTTAAAAAAGGATAATAAAAGCTTTACTTTTCAACAGCAGATCGTTTCTGTGATTTTGACTGGTAATTTAATGCCATCTTAGTTTCCATGCCAGTGTATATAGCAACACCTGAAACAAGAAAAACTATTTTAGTAAAGTATCAGGGGGTAGCCGTGTTAGTCTGTATCTACAAAAACAACAAGGAGTCTGGTGGCACCTTAAAGACTAACAGATTTATTTGGGCATAAGCTTTCGTGGGTAAAAAAAACCTCACTTCTTCAGATGCATAGAGTGTCTGAAGAAGTGAGGTTTTTACCCACGAAAGCTTATGCCCAAGAAAATCTGTTAGTCTTTAAGGTGCCACCAGACTCCTTGTTATTTTAGTAAAGATTGTGATTGAAGATTGTGAATGCAAGTGTTAATGAACAGCACAAGATCAAGAAGGATATACAATCCTGACATCAATAAAAAAAATCTCTGATTGCCCTGCTATTTACATACCCTACCATTACATCCTGCCTTGGCCATATGAAGAAAAAAAATACTGGTTCAGATGATATTCAGAAATTACAAACAGTTGTAACATCATGGTTAATACAGGCAAATTTTAAGAAACAGAGGTTGTTCACTTTGTATAGTAACTGGAGGTTCTTTGAGATGTGTGGTCCCTATCTGTATTCCATTGTGGGTACGCATGCACTTCATGCGCCTGAGACTGAAATTTTTTTGCTAGTATTGTCCATTGGTCCCCAACCTGTGGTCCAGATGAAGAGCATAAGGGGTAGTGAAGACTGACTACTTCTCCTGTTCCTTCTCTACCATGAATCATGTGAGAACCCAAGCAGAGGGCAAGATGGACAGATAGGGGAATACATCTAGAGACTACACATCTCAAAGAACTCCAGTTACTATACAAGACAAGTAGCCCCTCTTTCTTCAAGTAATGGTCCTTATGTGTATTCCACTGCACATTGACGAGGAAGGAGGAGAATGCGAGGACCTACGCAGTACGGATAACTGAAGGACTGCAGATCCAAATGAAGCATCAGCTGCAGAGGCTTGGATTAGAGCATAATGTCTTGTGAAGGTATGTATAGAACTCCATCTTGCGCTTTGCAGATGTCTATCAGTGGCAGATGAAGTGATGCTTGATGGGCCCTCACATTTTGCAGGGGAGGATATCAACTAACTGATAACAGAACAGGATACAGCCTGAAATCCACTTGGAAAGCCTCTGACAAGATATCACTTTGTCCCTTCATCCATTCTGCCAACAAACAAAACAAACAACGTAGGTGATTTCCTAAAAGACAATATGTTCTTCATTGGTGGAGTGCCAGTGCCTGGCATATATCCAGGGAATAAAGTCTCCTCTCCTCATTAGCAGCATGTAGCTTCAGAAAAAACAAAAAACCAAACAAACAAACAGGTAGATGTATAGTCTGTTTTAGGCAAAAGCCCAAGAGGACTTTGGGGGTGAATTCTGGGTGTAGCCTCAGCATAACTATCGCTATGGAAAATTGCATAAGGTGGATAAGCCATAATGACACCTAGTTCACCAAACCTTCTTGCTGATGGGATGGCCACTAACATGGCAGGCAACCTTCACAGAGAGATGGGAGGAGCATGTCACTAAAATAGTCGTCATCAAAATGGTGCCAAGAGGACCAAATTAAGGTCTCATGCTGGAGTGGGTTTAATTACTGGAGGGAAGGTTCTAACTGGAGGGAAGGTTCAGGGGTAGGCAACCTTCGGCACACAGACCATCAGGGTAAACCTCTGGTGGGCTGCGAGACATTTTATCTGCATTGACCGTCCACAGGCATGGCCCCCCGCAGCTCCCAGTGGCCGCAGTTCACCATGCCTAGCCAATGGGAGCTGCGGGAAGTGGCGGCCAGGGAACGGCGAACCACGGTCACTGGGAGCTGCGGGGGGCTGTGCCTGCGGACGATCAGTGTAAATAAAATGTCTTGCGGCCTGCCAGCAGATTACCCTGATGGGCCGTGAGCCGAAGGTTGCCGACCCCTGAACTAGACCTTTTAGAAAATGTAATTACTGGATAGGAGAAAATAGAGTGGTCATTGACTGGAGGGTGGCAGGCACTAATTGCCACCATGTGCACTCATAGGGAGCTGAGGACTTCAGGGTGAGCAGATAATATAAAATAATGGGAATGTCCGGTCATTTGTGGCCATATGGCAATGTCAGGCCCAAACAGAAAATCTCTTCCACTTAGCCACTTTCTGATGGATTCCTTCCTGCTATTGTTAAGGATGGCTTGAACTGCTAACAAACATGTCTGTTGTAGATTTGATGCCCATCCAAATACCAGGCTGTGAGGTGGAGACACTCTGGATTGGGATGTCCAATCTTGCCATTGTCCTATGTCAGAAGGTCCAGAAAAATCAGAGGCTGATGGGGTCAAGCCGACAGCTGGAGAAGGTTGGGCTACCAAAACTGTCTGGGCCATCTGGAAGCAATGAGGATGATCGCCACTCTATCTTGCTGGAGGACTCGAGGTAAGAGAGGAATGCGGAGAAAGGGGTACACAAGGGATTAGGATGGTATCTCCTTTGGAGTCTTGACCTTTAATTCCTCTGGACCAGTATGTCTTGCATTTACTGTTTTCTTGTCCTACTAATAGATCCCAAGAAGGGAATCCCAACTGCTTGAATATGCTCTGCACCACAGGGTCATGTAGCTCTCATCTGTGGTTGATCATGACATGTATGCTGTGCCACTAATGTTCTGTGTATCCTGGGAGATGTACTGATGATAGAGTGATTTTATGACTAATACACCAATTCCATGGGTTTACCGTGTCTATGCACAGGGATATGCACCTCGCTCCCCTTTCCTTGTTGATGTAGCACACTGTTGTGATATTGTTTCATATCACCTGAATACATTGTACAAGCAGTAAGAATTGCTTGCAGGCCTCTCAGACAGCTCTCTGTGCCAGCACATTTATGTGCATCCTGGACTCTCGGGGAGTCCACGTCCCTTGTGCTGTGTGTTTGTCCAGATGGGAGCCCCATCCTAGGAGGGAGGTGAAATAATCATCTTCTGGGGGTGGAACAAAGGAAACTCCTGTGTACATCTTCTTGTTGCACTGCCACCGCCTGCTTGGCACAGATACCATCTGATACCAGGCTTGTGGACAGTGAAGCCGAAGTCTCGCAAATGGTGTCAAGTAGGTAGGATGCCATGTGACATAGGAGAATAAAACATGTACAAATCAATGACTGAGGGCTCTGAGTTGATTGATTAAATTATTCAGTGACTGAAATCTGTCCAGAGATGCGCCGATAAATTCTGTGGTCTGCAATGGAACTAAAATGGACTTTTCTGTGTTCACACAGATTCCCAGTAATACTAGAAAACTGAGGAGAGATGAAAGAAAGTACCTTTGTAAACACTCTGGACACTGTTGCTAGTCCAAAAGGGAGCATCCTGAACTGATAATGATTTGGACCTATAGTGAATCTCATCAATCTTCAGTTAGAGGGATGGATGTTGATATGAAAATAGATATCCTTCATGCCGAGACCCATGATCCAATTGTCTCCGTTTAGGGACATAATTATTGATGCCAGGATGACCATCAACAATTAGGGTTGCCAAACCTCCAGGATTGGCCGGGAGTCTCCCGGAATTGGTATTGATCTCCCAGTGACTATTGAAAGCAATCCAGGAGATTTTAATAGGATATTTTAAGAAAATCACATTATGTCTTGCTGGGGAAAAAAATCTCCCGGAACAGCTTCAGTCAGACTTGGCAACCCTATCCATAATCTCAATCTGCAGATAAAGACATTGAGTTGTTGGAGGTCTAAAATGGATCTCCACCCTCCTTTTCGTGGATATGAGGAAATATTTGGATAAAATTCTCCCCCCTCCTCCCTGATATTTAGGTGGTACCAGCTCTACAGTTCCCTGCTGAAGTGGGAAGTCTACCTCCTGAATGAGTATCTTCTTATGAAAGTGGCCCCTAAAAGGGAATAGGGTTTTGAAGGGGGAGGGTAGAGGAACTCTGTGTATCTGAACTGGATGATGTTAAGAACCCATTTGTCTGTTATCTACTAGGCATGGAAAAATTCGGCTATTCAGCCACCAAACGGGATGTCTGGGTCAGAAGAAAATGGCGTCTCAGTTGGTTAGCAGCTCTTGACGGTCTCGTCAAAGTACCTCTTGATATGAAGTTGTCGCTGAAAGGAGGAGGAAGGAGGATGAGTGTTGGGTTTAGTTTTCTGGATCCTCTATTGCTTCTGTGTTGGTTTGTATCCCCTTTGGTGGTAGAAGGGTTGTGGAACTGGTCTTGGTTCATAAGGCTGTTTATGACACTTCCTCTTCAGTGCTAGTGTATATAAAGTTAGGGACCATACTGTTGCCTTGGAATCCTTCAGTGAGTGTAAAACTCATCTGTCTTTTCGCTAAAAAAATTATTCCCATCGAATGGCAAATCCTCTACAGCTGATTGAACTTCCCTGAGAAATCTCAAGAAGTGCTGCCAGGATTTGCAACATAACAGCAGTTGCCATTAACCTTGAGGACATGTCAGCTGCATCACCTGCAACCTGTAGAGATGTTCTAGCCACTAATCTACCCTCCTCAATAAGGACCCAAAATTATGCCCCATTTTTTGGAGGGAACTTATCTCTGAATTCAGAAAGTTTTGAATAGTTGACACATTGAATTTCGATAGCAAGGCCTGGTAGTTGGCTATTCGGAATCACATGCTGGTGGACATAAATGCCTTTCTTCCAAAGAGGTCTAAACTTTTTGTTTCTTTACCTGGGGGGGATGGACCTTGGGTGCTGTTACCTACTTGTTTAGTGGCTGCCCAAACCACCAAAGGATTCAGGCAGGATGAGTAAATAAAAATGCTGTTACCTTGTCTGGGACAAAATATCTCTTGTCTACCCTCTGAGGAGTAAGGTGCACTTGTTGCTGGAGCATGCCACACAAGCCTGGCATGCTCAAGGATGGCACTGTTAATGGAGAGTGCCACTCTGCTAGGTCCTGCGCTCTGTAAACTATCCAGGAGTCTGTAAGGTATCTCCTGAATTTGCTCCAGAAGAATCTGGAGCTTATCCACAACTCCAACAGATCTTGAAACCGTTTTTGGTCATCTGGTGCAGACGAATGGACACTACTAGCAAAAAACTTCCAGACTCAGGCACATTGAGTGTATATGTACTGACAGCGAAATGCACATAGGGACCTGCATTAGAAGCAGCAACATTCACATTCCATTTCTAATTCACATTTTTTCATCTTGAATCTACACCACGTTCTTCACAATTCTTGCGTTGGAGTGTCTTTTGACATGTTACCCAATGCAACTGTACAAAGTATTTTTGAATAGTCCATATTGTAATTCTAGATTATTTGTCCAGCTTCAATTTTAGAAACTAAATGATAGGTTATAAGAAGTATTCTAAACAAGCTTAAGCTACATGATGTATGTAAGAATAAAAGAAATCCACAGATTTTGCTCTCTTCAGCAGAACCTACTCATTCATTAAAAAAAATATTATAGTTTTGCACAGCCCCATTAATAACAGCTTCAGAGACTACAAAAAAAAGAAGATTAAATACAGCAATTATAATCAGCTGTAAACAAAAAAATGTATCCAAAGTACACATTAAATCAGATCTAATGTATCCTGGGTCATAACTCATTACTAAAAATAAGATACTCCGGCATGTGTGCTGTGCTGGGATAATTCCATATGTTGGGTGTGTTATTAACAATGTCAACAGCAACTGCTCAAGAAGTGGCAGTATCTCAGCTTGATACACATCTTCACTGAGTTTATAAAAATAGCCCTATGAAATTTAAAATAGTAATAAAAATACATATTAATTATACTAATTACATTGTTCTTTATTCCAAGTAAATAAGGGAAATTTAACAACATCTCTCCTCTAGTCATTTCCTGCTGTGTTCTTCTGGAGAGAAAAAGTTGCAAAATTTTTCTAGATATCTTGCCATTCCGTCTCCCCTCTTGGAAAGAGAAGGTGTTGCATCATGGGAGATGTAGTCAGGCCAAGGAGCCTGACCCATAGAGGAGAATGGGGACATGAAGCAACTGAACTACAACTTCCACGATGCACCGTGGCAGCATTTCCAAATTAAAGTATTTCAATTTTTTGGTGACTGGTTTGTAAACATCAAACTGAACTTTTCTGCAAAAAGCAGGCACTTTATGGAGGGGAAAAAATGTTGAGATGAAAATCCAACTCTCTGCTGAAGAACAGTTTTAAAAGAAAATGTTGGCCAACCCTACATATATTAGGTTGGGGTAACAATTCATCTACCCTAATGATTCAGCAACAGACACTCAACATTTTCCAATGGTTCATTAACTGCTAACACAATTGGGCTTTTGAGCACACACTGCTAGCCTGTCACATCCACACCAAACCAACAACTTTGTGGATTAGAGTCACACATTTATGTGCGGAATTTAAGAAACATTTCCTTCCAAGGTCTATTGTTGATAGCTAGTACTTAGAGATTACTACATACTAAATCAATTGCTATTTCAAACAAGGGTGTCATTGCTATTGTATGTCAGTTGTGATTACCTCAGTTCTCTTAATAATGACAAAAATGCACTCTGTGGTGCAGATGTAGTTCAGGCAATGCAAGGGAAGATTTATGCTCAAGTGATTGTAATTATAGATTTTTAACTTGATTTAATGTTTACATTTTAACTGAAAATGCATTATCATTTATTAATTCAAATATTTACCGAAGATTCTCTCTGTGTTCTTTAAAGTAGCTCCTCTAAGAAGCAGATTTTCAGATCCTAATGGCCTACAAAAGATAAAGGATTATCAAAAATATATTAAGTGTTCAGAAATAGAAAACAGATTGTTATGAAAGTCACATGAAACATAACAGACAGTATTAGCTACAGAAAATAAAGTATTGCTCATTTGGTTAAATGAAAGTCTACACTTAACAAGCAACCAACATTTGCAATTTACATTTGGGATTTTTTATTAAAGTATTGTGGTCAAGATTTTTAGATATATGAATACCTAAAATTAAGCTCTTAAATTCATATTTAGACACCTGGAACCTGATTTACAGAAGCGTTGAGAATCCAGCGGCTACCACTGACTTCAGATTGAATTTGGACCATAAACCTCAATATACAAAGATAACGGAAAAATGCATTACGGAGTTTGTTCCACCAGCATTGTCCAAGACATACATGCCATATCATAACCAACTTATCTTGCTTTAGTTCTCACCCCTGAAAATTGTAGTCTAATTTTGTTCACTGATTAGGATGGGAAACTCATTAGGATGGGAAAGATTGCTGCTTTCAAGTTCTCTTTCTCTCTCCCTTTTCAAGTTAGCTGTAAAGAAATTTGATGGAGCAAAAGTTTTAGACTCCGATTGCTATAAACTAACCTTTAAGTCATCCAAAGTTTTGAGAATTTATACAGTATTTCAAATATATCTTATGAGAAGCAAATATTTTTATACGGCATGCTGGGAATATGCTGGGAATATGTGTGCTACATATCAGCAATGATTGAAAACTATTTTGTAATCTTGTTGAATTTAAAGAGCTGTTTTGCTTGGTCTTCACTGAAAGGAAGTTTGGATATCCAAAAAGTGGTGTTTTTAATTTGAGTCAGCACTGAACTAGAAGAGTGCTTCAGCACTGTGCTAAAAGGTGCTGTGTTTTAGAAAAGATGTAAAACCTGGACCTGACCACTTGTAGACATTTCATGACACTGTAAGGTATCGGCTGTTAACGCTGGTGACTGGACCAAATGCCAGTTTGTATAAGGGAAGACAACCAGCTGGTAGTGACAGCTGAAAGTATACAGCTATGAACAGATGGTCACCTTGCAAATAGAAGAGGCAGATATCTCAACTCTCTATGCACCAGATTTTGCTATACCATACCACACCACAAGACGAGCGACACCTACGATGTAAGGACAAGCTTTTCATAGTTTGGCTATAGACACAAAATACAGTCTTTCATCTATAATATTTTTACTGGTGGCCTTGCTTTTATTGCAACTCTCAAAGCAAAAAGAATAGTTGCTTAGAGTTTGAATTTTAGCCATGAACTTTATTGAAGAGAGAAATATTCCTGAATCAGGACCTTTTTGAAACCTGCCTGTAAAATACTGAGGATGCACTGAAAGAAGCATCATTATATATCCTCCCCTTTCTCCAATATCCAGTGAATGAAGATGCACTAACCTAAGAGAACATTTTCAAGGCTGATTATTTTCAGCTTCAGCTCACAAAGGCCACTCAGCAATTTCCTCTGAGAAATCAAGAGTTAAATAGCTCTGCTCAATCTCCAGGCCATCCCCCAAGGCTAGGTGTTCTGAGGTGGGGAAGCTGACTGGTCTCAGATAGCAGTTCTGGCCTATTAGGTAGTATTTACAGAGAAGTATACAGTGATGCTCTCGAGGTCAGAAAACCAAAGATGGTGGGGCCACCAAGAAGCCAGCAGGATCATTTATATATAGCCTAATTTCTCTTGCAGCTCTACAGAACAGGATTAGGCCAGGGAAACAATATCCCAGTTCCTTGCTTCAATCCCAGGCCAATGTATCTTCCCCACGGTTTGGGGACAGATGTACTTTCCAAAATGCGGTTAGTGTAGCTGTCTTGCTGGAGTCAAGCCAATTGACTGTTCTGGACTCAGCTGCTAGCACACCTCCTGGAAGAACTGAGGTGCAGGCTCCACTTTCCCACTGTCCTGGACAGGAGCTCCCCTGGTTTAAGAGAGAGACTGTTCTGAGGGGGCAGGGAAAGGCTATGTCCAAACACAGATGGGGCAAGTGGGGAAGGAAAAGAACACGGAGCTGTGTGTTCCTATTGCCTGTTCATATGTACTACTGCGGTTTGGTTGTTATTTGCATTATGTAGTCCCTAGGGCCCCATTGTGCTAAGCACTGTATACAGAGAGCAAGAGGCAGTCCTTGTCCCAAAGGAGCTTATAATCTAAATAGACAAAAAAAGGATAGGGGAACAGCAATAACATCCAAGCAGAGTTTGTCCCCGTGGTCTGAGTGAGTGAAATCTGCACAATTGCAGCCGCACCTCACCTTGGGTAAAACCCTTGGTGTGAAAGCAAGGGCGATTGTGGCTCCTTTTGTGTGTTGCACCGGGCATCGCTCTCATGAAACCGAATTTCCTTCTTGTGTGATTGGTGTGTGTAAAGTCCTCCTGTATGGGTAACCAGATGTCTAAGTCAGGACAGTTCCCTAAAGGAACGCCGGCTTTGTATTTTCTATATTTTAGGAAGGGTCCGGACTCCTGTAAATTTCTGGAAAAATGGTCTAGGCTAACTCAGGGAGATCCCAAAACTCAGTGGCCACTGTTAAAATCTTGGAACAAGGACCGAGTGGACATCTTAAAAGACAAACTCGGCCAATCTAAAACTAAATTGGAAAAGGAGAGATTAATTGTTTCATGCAGTGGTGGGAAGAGGCAAATTGTAGGTGGACAAAATCAAAACTCGCCTCTCTCAAATATTCAAATAATAAGTTAAAAGCTTTATTAAAAGCCTCCTCTCCCACCACTAGGGTTACCATACGTCCGGATTTTCCCGGACATGTTTGGCTTTTTGGTCCTCAAATCCCCGTCCAGGGGAATTGCCAAAAAGTAGGACATGTCCGGAAAAATAGGGAGGAAGGGGTCGTGGGGTTTGGGTCCAGGTTGAGCCACTGGGGCCGGCGGATGCTCGGCTGCTGGCGGTGCCGCTCGCTCTGCCAGAGCCGGGGCGGAGCCGCTCGGCTGGAACTGGGGCCCAAGCCGAGCCGGCTGGAGCCGCTGGGACCGGGGCTGCTCGGCCGCCGGCCAGTGCCACTCGCCCAGGGCCGGGACTGGGCCAAAGTTGCTTGGCCGGAACCGGGGCCCGAGCCGAGCCAGCTGGAGCCGCTGGGACCGGGGCTGCTCGGCTGCTGGCCGGCGCCGCTCGCCCAGGGCCGGGGCTGGGCCGGAGCTGCTCGGCCGGAACCGGGGCCCGAGCCAAGCCGGCCGGAGCCATTGGGACCGGGGCTGCTCAGCCACTGGCCGGCGCGCTCAGCCGGAACCGGGGCTGGCGCCCCAGGGCCTGAGCCGAGCCGGGTCGGAGACGCTGGGGCCAGAGCCTCTTGGCCGGGGCCGGCTGCCGGAGGGAGCCGCTCAGCTGGGGGGCCGGACTGGGCCGCGCCTTCTCGTGCCCCCCGCCCCCCTCCCAGCCCCAGCCTACCTGCTGCCTGCCTGCTTCAGGATTCGCGGGAAGCAGGGGAGGGGGAGGAGCAGGGGGGTGAAGCATTCAGGGGAGGGGGCGGAGTTGGGGCGGGGACTTTGGGGAAAGGGCGGAGCTGGGGCAGGGCCGGGGCACCATGGAGTGTCCTCTTTTTGGACACTTAAAATATGGTAACCCTACCCACCCCCAGACCGAGCGCTCCCCTTTGCCCCGTTCTCCGAAAAAAACCCAATAACCCCGGATCGATCCCAACCCCCTCCATACTCCCATCTCATTGTAAAAAGGACAAAAAGCCCCTTGTTCTGTTCCCCTTCATTGTCTGCCTCAGAAACTGATTCTTTAGTGTTCCACTACCAATTCAGCAAGGAGGGTGGACTCCTCAACTAGCCCCCACCCTTCCTGGTCCCTTTCCTTAAACATTTCTTTCAAAATTGTGAAATGACCACAATATCACTCACAAAAACGGTTCATTGGAAAAAGCAGGATCGGGCTCAGACAAGCAGGCAAGCAACAGATAAAGAAACTGAAAAACAGGTTGGAAGCCCTAAGGGCATAGTGTCAGGAGTAAGTGCAAGCATGAACCCCTGGAACAATACTTAAAATGGTGAAATCTGAATTGATAAAGGTGTCATTTTGGGAAATAAACAAGTGATTTAAGGAAAGAGAGTGAAAAGTTAACTCTACAGAGGCTGGAGAGAATTAAACAGTTAAACTTTGTGAAAATGTTAAAAAGAACCTTGTTAAAAGAATTCTTGGTTTCTTTGCAGCCATTCTAAAGGAAAAATGGGCCCTTTTCCAGAGGAATGTCTGTAAATAATCCAGGTAAAGAGACTATCTAATTAAAATCATTTGACTATGAACAATTTAGTCTTTTTTGCTAAAAGAACATTGGGGGGGGGGTTCTATTGGAACTTAACTGCCCCAAATGTATAAAGGTAATGTAATCTATGTACAGCTATGTAAAAACAAAGCAGTGTAAAAGGGATGTTAAGGAAAAGAAAATGTGTATGTATCCATCTGTCTGTGGGAATATGTGAGGTTTGTAAAACTCCTGCTTTGTAGGTTTAAGATAAATTGGTTTTGTTTTGTTTATAATGCCACTAAAAATCCATTTGACTCTTTAATTCAAAGTTGCAAAACTGACAGACCTTTTTGCCAGACACAGGTAATCAGTGTTGGTTGGCTTTGAGATTTGGTATTTAACCCTTAAGGGGTAACTTGATTCTTTACAAAATTTAAATGTTTTCAAATAAAGACCAAGTCATGACTGCAGCAGGGCAGTCAAAATCAGAATAATAGGGAGAGATTCTGGATTCTTTTTGTTTGTTTGTTTTTGTAACAAAATAGCAGATGAAAGCTGTAGTAAAAGAATAAAGACAGTGCCCCTCTGAAACAACAGCAGGGGTGAGGTGCACAAAACAAAAAGAAGAAATGTTAGAAACACTGAGCCTTAAAATGGCTCTGTGTAATCAGACTGTCACTTTAATAAGGGTACATAAAACTCTGTAAGAACAAAAGAAACAGATATGCCTTATGTAAAAATTAATATGGCTAATGTTTTAAAAGTTAAAGTATAGAA